ATAGGTGTCCGTGATCAATCTTGGGGAATAATTAGTCAGATTACCCATGGAGTGGAGGTGACTTATTTTGTTACTTTGCCTCGTGGCCTGTGATCTTCTAAAGATCCTAACATGGCAAGTTGGCAATAGTAATATTTCAGGATCAAAGTAGATCTTGAAGAGGCTTATGATGGAGCACAGCTACTCCTAAGGTCATGGTAGACCAAGCCTTAAGGGAAGATATGAAACTTAGAGGATGATACCTCTGAAGACGTGAGAAAGGGGTTATACATTAAGCTGAGAGGATGGTGCCTCTCACAGCATAAGCATGGGATGACACGTTGAGCCGTGAGGATGATTCCTCGTAAGGCCTGATACGTTAAAGCCATGAGGGTGATTGCTTGTAAGGCTTGATAATGACATGACCAGGGATGAGTTTAAGGTATAGAAGCTCACTCCAGTGGTTAGCCAGTACCAAGAGAGTACCCTTGATTTTCCATAGATACTATTATTGTCAAATTGGGCCAAAAGCTATAAGCCTGAAACCGTGTGTATCCAAGCAAGTTAATGGTAAAATGAAAAGGGAAAGTAGGAACATAGACCTTTAAGGCAAAAGGAAGGATGGCTGAAGATGCTGATACACCTGCTAAAGGTAGATGTTGCTTGTGACAATAGCTAATATTCTACCATATAAACAGCTTTGTGTGAAACCTTATATGGCACAAAGTATTGATTATCATTGTAGTGGATTGAATTAAGTATGAGAAGAGTTTACAATCCAAAAATGATGATCCAGTTTGGGAATAAATAAAGATGATTGATAAGGACCGTTAGCCACATAAAGTAGAAGGAAAGGGTATCCAGACATAAGAAGAAGGCTACTAGAAATTATGGTTGGAGGAATCAACCACAGGAATGGGTCAAACCTTAAAAGACAAAATATGTAAAGCCGAACACCTTTCAAAATTTTTAAGAGTTTGCCTAGTAACGTACAAGTTGGCCCTACCCCCTAACCTTAGTCAGATTCACGTCTTCTATGTCTCTCAACTAAAAAAGCATTAGTCAAGTCCCTTTCATATTTTGGAATATAAAGACATGGAGCTGCAGAATAACCTCACTTTCAGGGTGAAACCAGTAAAAGTGATAGATGGACATGTTACATAGTTATGAAATAAGACTATCCCAATGGTCAAAGTTATCTAGAGGGATCTAACTTAAGAAGAAGTTGCTTAGAGAAAGGGAAGACAATATGAAGACTAGATATCAAGAGTTGTTTGTGTAAGGTGTGTTTCTAAATTTCAAGGATGAAATTTATTTAAAAGGAGGAGGAATTGTCACATCCCAAGAAATTCCATCTAGACATAGGGAATCAAAAATTAGGATGAGGGCCAATGTAGAGAATAGACGGGGAGATGAAACAACTTTTGATGTAAAATCACGATAAGGTCTGAGCTGACATTATTGTAACTATTGGTCTAAGAAGGATAAAATGAAAAATTTTGAGAAAAATTATAGAAAATTCCCAAAAAAATAAGAAAAGTGTAAGGTAAAGGCTTTGAAAACTCAGTTGAGGCCCAAAAGATAGAATTATTGTGAAAATAAATTATTATAGAATTTTCTGTAAACGGAGGTTTTTCAAAAAATTATTAGAAAACCAAAGGAAAGTAATTATTTTAATTAGTTAGAGGCCTTAATAAATTTGAAAAATAGATGAATAAATCATCTAAATGTTTATTTGAATTTATAAAATTGATTTTAGGCCTTGGAAACTTAGGAATAAATTTTAGAGAATTTATTTTCCCGCAGTGACACCAATAAAGGCGTAATTGGAAAAAATTTAAAATAAATACCTAGAGGTGGTGAAAATTTTTGAAAATTTCTAGATCATGTTATCATATTAAAAGGTGAATTATCATGAAGAAAAATGGTGTGTGGATTGATTTTTGGAATAACCAAGATTAAATGGTGTATGGATTGATGTTATCATATTAATAATCAAGTGGAATAAGCAAGGTTAAATGGTGTATGGGTTGATTTTTGGAAGAAAATCAAAGTTAGGGTTTTAGGGTTCCTATTCAGCCAAGCACTGTTCATACATGAGCTGATTGTTTTGGCTTAATATGATGGTTCTAATGGCTTTAAAACATGCTTTTGTGTAGGGATATATGGTTAGGAAGTGTTTAAAATCATTGGAATCAAAAATGAGTTTTTGAAAGTTATAATCCCCTATTCGGCCAAACCAAGTTCATGAGGAAGGAGTTTGAATTTCAAAAATATAACTGCATATTTGGATTTCTCATGAAAAATTGTGTAGGGATGAGTCATGAGGTTATAGATTCTAAAAGAGGTATCACTTTGTTAAAAATCAAAGGAAAAGGTGGGAAATTATTAACTTAAAGTTCAAGAATTGTAATTAAGTTGTTTAGTGATTAATGTGGCCTATGTTTATACTTGGTTTAATAGGCATTGTGAGGAGGAACCAAGGAGAAGGTTTGTTCCTTGAAGTAACCTAGCGATCAAGTGATAAAAGGTAGCTTTGAATTATAATTTGATTGTTTATTTTGCTTGTTTAATGTGACATGTTGTTTGCTTGGATCAAGAGAATTGTGTTGTGATATTAGTCAGTTGAATGACCTTTATTTATGCTTTGGCCAAATGCATTGATTGGTGTTAATGTGAAAGTGTTGATGTTCCTTTCCTAGCATGAGAATGAGTATGATTTTTTATCACTCGAAGATGTCTTGGAGTTCTATAATATGTCACATGGTAGCTGGCTTGATTTGCATAATAATTGTAATCAAATGCTACTGACATTTCTATGAAATCTCATTATCCTATGTGAAGTTATGTCTCATTTAGGAAGTGGCTCAACTATGGATCAAGGCAAGGAATTGGTGTTGGGATAGAAGAGCATTGTGGAATTGATGTCACTATGTTATGTTATGTTATGTTTTTAATGAACTTTATGCTAAGCTGTAAGATATCTTGGATAGCATTTTGATGTAAATTATGTTGTCGTGGTATGCCCTAATGTTGAAACATTGAATGGTACATTGACACAAGGTTAAGGACAAGGAAAAAGGGAAATAAAAATGAAAGAAAAGGGAATTAGGGGATAAAATCTCCCTAAATAATGCCAAACTTGTGGCATATGAAATAATGAGCAATTGTTGGAATTTAGGCATGAAATTTTACAAGAAAATAGATCTCATTTTTAGCTTTAAAACAAGTAGTAAATCATTAAATTTGGAGCTTTGTGCTAAGAGTTACGTCCTTCCAAAGTCGGGCTAAAATCCTCAAAATTCAAAAATTTACCATACGAACAGTGCACGTTATCAAATTTTCTGGTGTTGTTCTAGATGGAATTGAGTCTAATGAATTGTTTTCTCTATAGATCTCTTAGCAAGCTTCATGTGAAAATTGAAACCACCTCGTTCGAATTAGTTATGAATTTTCAAAATTGGCTCAAATTTGGATGAATAGTCTACAGGCAGAATTAAAGGTGAAATTTTGAAACTAAAATTTTTCACCTAAAAATGTTTGAAAATGTGTTATAATTGATGTATAATGGAATATTTAAAGGAGATGTTACAGGTTTCATCCTTAGGTTGGGAGGATGGTACGGACGTGATCCTGACAAACCGATCAAGGTGGGGATGAATCCACAAACCCGCCTAATCAACCACCGAATCCTTTCCAGTTTAACCAAGTGACCTTACTGCAACAGCTAAGGGAAGTGGTAGTTACGGTGTTAGATGAGAGGGTAAGGAAGTTGGAAGAAGACTTGAGAAGCAAGAAAGCTATAGAAGAGTTCGAAGACAGTGGGCTTCCTGAGCCGTCTGTGGGCAATTCTGGAACCCGTAGGGGTTCTATTGAAGGAACCAAAGAAGATAGTAGCTTGCGAGGGTGACAAGAAAAGGAGGAGACTATGAACCTTAGGAATGTATAGAAGGACATAGAGTAGCATCACCCGAATACTTTTGATGGGGGTATAGATCCTGATAAAGCTGAAGCTTAGATCGATGACATGGGGACAATATTCAAAGCTTGTGGCTGTAATACCTATCAAAAGATACAAACAGTGGCGATCTTATTAAGGGACAGAGCTAAGAGGTGGTAGAGGAGCAACATAGATGACTCGGGGGTTACTTAGACAGAATTCAAGCAGATGCTATTTGATCACTATTTTCCCCCAGCCATGAGACAAGAAAAAGAAACAACTTTTTATGCTCTTGGATAGGAGAACATGTATGAGGATGAGTTTATTGCCAAGAATATTGCCTCTCTAAGCATGTTACCTATCTATAGTAGGAAGATAACCTAGAGTAAGTAGATAGCCTAACAATTAATAGAATGGGCGAGGCCAGAGTTGAAGCAGAAAATGGCCTTATATGAGTTTAAGAGTTTTGAGGATGCTTGCATGAAACTCAGGATGACAGCCCGTAGAACCTGAGAGGTAGAGGAGAGCCAGTACCGAGATAACCAGGGCAGATTCTCTAATTTTATAAAGCTAATGGAAGGAGTCAATAAGAAGAGCAGCTATAGTTATGGGAACTCAGGGAGTTCAGGCTAGGGCAAGAGCCAAACTCAGAAGGATTCAGCCTGTAAAGGCTTTATACAAAGGAGATAGGCTCAGAGGAGCCGTATAGGAGGAGATCAAAGCTTCCACCATGAGCCTGCCAGATCCACACCAAGTATTAGAGGTCTTTGCTTAAAATGTGGTAAGAATCATACAGGGCAATGCTTAGAATGCTTTGGATGCCATAAGTTTGGACACATAGCTCGTAATTGTCCAGAGACGTAGCAACAAACTCCTAGTTTCATATCCATGGTGCTAGGGAGAGTTTTTGCCTTGACTAAAGGACGCCGGTACATCTCCTAATCTGATTAGAGGTACTGTTTCTCTTCAAGGACATGATATACCCATGTTATTTGATTCTGGTGCCACTTATTCTTTTATTTATGTAGAATGTGCTCAAAAGTTTAAATTTTAAATGCATGATTTGTCTTACTTGTTGAAAATGTCAACTCCAGCAGGAGCCACTGTGTTAACCACACAGGCTTGTTTAAATCTCATGCTTAAATTTGAGAATCGTGAGTCTGTGATTGATTTGATTTGTCTACCCTTTAAGGGTATTGACATGATTATTAGTATGGATTGGCTATTAGCAAATAATGCCATTTTGGATTGTAAAAGGAAGATGGTAACCCTTCATTTGTACACTATGATAGTTGAGACTGTTAATGCTCTTTTGTGGTTGTTTGCTACTCAACCAACCAAGTGCATTCAGAAGGGTTGTAAGGCTTCTGGTAGTATGGATAAAGAAGTTGGTATTGAGCAAATTGAGGTAGTAAAGGAGTTTCCTGAGGTATTTCCTGAGGAAGTGTCTAGTTTACCCCCTAAGAGGGAAGTTAAGTTCTCTATTGAGCTAGTGCCAGGGACAACTCCAATTTCCAAAGCACCAAACAGAATTTCACCTTCTGAATTGATATAGCTGAAAAAGCAAATTGAAGGGTTACTTGAAAAGGGTTTATTAGACCAAGTGTCTCACTATGGGGATTACCAGTAGTGTTTGTGAGAAAGAAAGATAGGAGCCTGAGATTGTGTATAGATTATAGGCAATTGAATAAAGTGATTGATGACTTGCTAGGATTGATCACTTGCTAGATCAGCTAATAGAGTCAGCCTAGGATTGATGACTTGCTAGATCAGCTAATAGAGTCAGCGATGTTTTCCAAGATTAACTTAAGGTTAGGATATCATTAATTAAGAGTCAAAACAAAAGACATCCCAAAGATGGAATTTCGCACCAAATATGGGCACTATGAGTTTCTAGTGATGCCTTTTGGTTTGACAAATGCTCCAGTTGTGTTTATGGACTATATGAACAGGATCTTTAGACTGTACTGGACATGTTCATTGTGGTGTTTATAGTTGATATCCTGATATACTCTAAGAACAAGGAACAACACTGAGAGCATTTTTACATTGCATTACAAATATTGAGGGATCATCAGTTGTATGCTAAATTAAACAAGTGCGAGTTTTGGCTCAGAGAAGTGAAGTTCTTAGGTCATGTAGTATCTACCGAGGGAGTAGTTATTGATCCTAGCAAGGTTGATGTCATGTTGAAATGGGAATCACCAAAATCTGTGATGGAGTGAGAAGTTTTATGGGCTTAGCTGGGTATTACCAAAGATTCATCAAGGGGTTTTCTCAAATTGCCATGGCTCTAACTAAGTTGATCAAGAAAGACTAGCCATTTATCTGGAATGAAAAATGTGAGGCAGGTTTCCAAGAACTAAAAGCTAAGTTGACCACAGCTGTAGTGTTAACTATTCCAGATCCTAGTAAATCGTACACCTTTTACACCGATGCTTCACTTAAGGATTTAAGGTGTGTCTTAATACAGGAAGGTAAGGTAGTTGCCTATGCATTTAGGCAATTAAGGCCACATGAGGAGAATTATCCTACACATGACCTGGAATTAGCTGTGGTTGCTTTTTGCGTTAAAGATCTGGAGGCACTACTTATATAGACCATAGTTTGAAGTCTTCAATGATCATAAGAGCCTGAAGTATTTAGTAGATTAGAAGGAACTGAATAATTGACAGCGCCAATAGATGGAATTCATTAAGGACTATGACTTTGAGTTTAAATATCATCCAGGTAAAGCCAACGTCATTGTAGACGCTTTAAGTAGGAAAACAGTGTATGTGTTTCACATGAGTTTGGAAGAACACTACTACTTAAAGAGATTGAGAGACTACCAAGTGGTACATGAGGCTCCAGCCACTCTCTAATCAATTTTGGGTGATTATGAGTTCTTTTAAGACTTGAAGGCAGCATAGATGGAGGATGACCAGTTATTAAGCATCGAGAGGAAGTGGAGACCTATGATGTGCCTGAGGTGAAGAAAGAATCCTAAGGTATAAGAAAAGGATATGTGTCCCTGGTAATGAGGAAATCAAAAAGACTATTCTAGAAGAGGCGTATCAGAGTAATTATATAATACACCCACGGATAACCAAGATGTATCAGGACTTGGAAAAGACTAATTAGTGGCTAAAAATGAAAAGGGATGTCACGGATTTTGTATTAAAGTGTCTGACATATCAAAAGGTCAAAATAGAACATTAGAGATCTCCAAGACTATTAAAGAATCTCGATATTTCCCAATGGAAATGGGATAGTATTTCTATAGACTTTATCACAGGTATGCCAAAAACCTCGGCTGGCTATGATGCGATATGGGTAATTATGGACAGATTGACTAAGTCAGCACACTTCCTACCTATCAAGAGTACTTACTCCTTAGAATGATTAACAAAATTGTATATATACTAGATTGTTTGACTTTATAGAGTGCCAGAGTCTATCATTTCAGATAGGGACTCGAGGTTTACATCAAACTTCTGGTGGTCATTAAATGAAGCCATGGCAATAAGCTCAAGTTTAGTACTGCTTATCATCCTCAGACTGATGGATAGACCAAGAGGACTATTTAGACTCTCGAGGATATGTTGAAGGCTTGCGTTATAGAGCTAAAGGGCAGTTGGGACACTCACTTGTTATTAGCTGAGTTTGCCTATAACAACAGCTATCACTCTAGCATTCAGATGGCACCATATGAGGCTTTATAAGGGAGGCAATGTAGATCTCCACTTTGTTGGACTAAACTAAGTGAAAGAATAGTTATTGGCCCAGATTTAGTGGACATCACAACCAGAAAGATTGAGCTGATCAAGCAGAAGTTGTTGATGGCGCAAAGCCAACAGAAGAGTTTGTGGATTGTTGGAGAAGACCTTTAGAATTTGAAGCAAGTGATCATGTATTTTTGAAGGTTTCACCTATCATAGGTGTTGACAGATCTATTAAGGCCAAGAAGCTTACACCCCGATTCATGGACCTGCTGCATACCAGATTGCATTGTCGCCACATCTTTCTTGTTTACACAATTTGTTCCACATGTCGCAGTTGAAGAAATATTATCTGGATCTGTCCCATGTTATTGAGCCTAAAGAGGTCGAGTTACGAGAAAATTTCACCTATCTAGTGTAACCAGAGCGAATTTTGGATGTTAAGGACAAACAATTAAGGAACAAGACTATCCGTCTTGTGAAGGTCTTTTAGAAGGGCACGAGTCCCGATAATGCTACTTAGGAAACTGAGGAACAGATGCGTTACGAGTACCCTTACCTATTTTCTTAGTAAGCACCTTGAGTTGCTTTTGTTTTTAATTTTTATGTGTGGTTGTTTGAATTTTGAGGACAAAATTCTAATCAGGTAGGAAGAGTTGTAATATCCTAAATTATATTATAGGATTTATAGGAAAAAAAAGTAATAATAATATTTTATTATTATAATAAAATAATTATATTTAAAAAAAAGGGAAACAACTTTCCACCAAATTCGATGGAAAGCTGAGCACTGACTAAAGAAGAAGAAAGTTGGGAGTTGGGAGAGAATTTATTAGGGGGAAGCTCCCCCTAATAAATGTGTGGGGGTGTTAAAATAACACCCCACAATTCAGTTTTCGACGCGCAAGAGAGGAAGAGAGAAATAGTGTGAGTGAGAGAGAAGAGCAAACCAGTGAAGGAGAGGGTAAGCTTTAAAAATAATTTAGATACAAAAAATTACTTCTTTTCATCAAATTTTCTTCATGAATATTTTCTATATATTTTATGCTTTTTAATGATAGTATTATCATAGTGATTAGAGAAAATTTTGAGACTTATATATGATATAAGTACTGAGTTTTGATAATAGATGACTATAGAAATTTAGAGATAAATGAGTAGTTAATTTTAATTGGTTTAGATTTGTCCATTTATTAGTTTTTAATATTTAAATTAATTTATTTAGTTGAAAAATTTGTTATATATGGCATATATCATATTTTTGCTGATTAAATTTAAGTTAAATGATTTATTTGGGTTGTTTGATATAATATTGAGATTTTAATCGGTTTGATTTTATTTATTGGATGACTGGAGTTTTAAAATAATTATTTTAACTAAAAAATTTATTATTTATGGAAAAATATATATTTATATAATAGATATACCATTAAAATTTTGATTAGATTATTTATTTATAAATATTTGAGGTACTATTAAATTTTTGATGGTTTGATTTTGAGGTTTAAATTTTAAATGAGATTTTTAGAATTTAGACGATAATAATTCCATATTTGAAAATTTTGAAAAATTCTTTTTATTAAATTAAATAATCCTAGAGGATGTAAATAAATAATTTGGGTTGTTAGAAAATTATAAGTTGGTTCTAAAATACTTAATTTTGGACTATAAGAATTGCAAAAATTTAGAATAAAAATTAAATTAAATTAAAATTTTAACTAATATATATAAGCTTAATTAATTAATTAGCTTATATTAATATGTGGTTATAGTAATTGTGCAGATTAATTATTGGATTGAACAAATGATTGACCTTGTGGTAATGATTTCTACTTGTTATATGTGCTAATATGTTATTTGTGAGTATTTTACTATTTTGGAATAATGATGTGTTAGCCCCCGTAACGAGGGTTTGTATGATTGAGATTATTTAAATATATATATTTTATATTTCCATTGATATATCTATATTTCTTGAAATTTAATAATTGTCCCACTTGACACCTCACAAGGATATGTTAGTATGTATGATGAGTTGGAAAGCTGGTTACTGAGACGTTTGTCTCACCTCGTGGTTTCTACTATCTTCAAGTGATAGTTCAGGTAGTGGTCCATCAGGGAAGACTCTAGAGGCATAGTATACTATTATAGCTTGTATAACCTCCCTGCTTTTGTTCTATGTGCTGATTTATTATATATTGCCAGATAAGGATCATCTACTTTAATGTTGTAAACTAACACTTTTAATTACTACTATCTGATATGGGGGCCTATTAGAAGGCTAGAGGTCTTTAAGACTTTGCGTGATACGCTCTTTTAAAAGTATTGACTTTTGACTAATGGACTCTATAGATTATATCAAAATGATTTATTAGTTCCTATGTTTGACAATATGAGTTTCGTTTAGGCTAATGGCTGAATAATATTTCCAAACTTTGGAAGTCCAAGGTCAAAATTAATGATTGGCATTACTCGTGTCATAAGTTTAATCCTTTTAACCATGATATAATTTTAAGGTTTCTTCTTTTCTATCATGGTTAATCTTTCGAATAAATTACTTGATTTAATCCAAATGGGGTTTTGGAAGAATGGTTGTCACATAGGACACTCCCATACTTTGAAATAATTTAAATTAGGTTTCCAACCTTTCTAGATTTCAAAGGGTGTCTTGGACACTGCCTTTGTTAGAACCCTATTTAATATATATGTGGTTGTCTTGAGTGCTTCCTTCTACAAGGAAGTTGGAAGTTTAGAGCAACTCAACATGCTCTTAACCATATCCAACAAGGTCCTATTTCTTCTTTCAACTACACCATTCATATCAGATAAGCCACACATAGTATATTGGGCTACT